GAAAAAGGAGCAACCGGCAAGAGGGGGATCTCTCGGCGCTCTATCAAAGGATCTACTCTCTTCCCTCTCTCCTTAAACCTAAATATAACGGCCAAGTCAAGTGCACATCCTTTCCTCGATCACTCCACGCGCCATATTGGGCGCACACGTGGAATCGCGACAAGTCGAGCACTCCGAGTTTATTTTTAATTTCTATTATATTAAAATTATCGTAGATTGCCCTAAATTTCTCCGTATGTGAACCATGTTACGAAACAATTTACGAATTTTAAGTTAGTTAAAAGAGCACAGACAAAATTGTCCTACTTCTGGTTATTCACATGCTGACATATAATTCACCTGGTTTATTATAAACGTTACCTAATTTCTCGTTTTCGACCTACGGTCAAGCTCGACGATCGAGCTGCAACGGCGCACGCGTCGCAATTCTGGAAATTAAGAGCCGATAGCGTGACGTCATTGGCATCTCTGACGTAGTTCCAGCATGGTATTAAACCCGCCGACCGGTAACCCGGTCAGGACATTACCCTAAATAACTAAAACATCCTAATAACCTGCGGAGCGTCGAACAATGAACGTCTGTCTATAAGGGGGAACTTATAAATGCCAATCTCCATCCTAATTTACACCGCTTGACATTTCGCGGAACGATAGGAATATCGATACCCCAATTTCGATAGATGTAACTTAAATCGGATTCTCGAATAACGGGACGGAAACGTATTTTCGAGCACGAAACGTTTGAAGATTTGACGTAAAAGAACTGCACATATTTACTGCCGTATATTTACATTTCTTATGGAAGAAGAATCTATGTATGTGTAAGGCATACTCTCTAATAAAAAAATATTTTTTTATTAGAAAAGATTTTGAAGAAAGTGTCAAGTGTAAAATAAAGTCTGTAAATTTTAATGTAAATTATAAAAATTTAGGAGATATAAAACATCTATCTTTTTCATGCTTTTTCCCTTAAATAGATAAAATATTATTTTTGACAAACGAGATTTTTTTTTTGTATCTCGAGACTTTTTATTTTTGGCACTTGTAGAATTTCTATGTCAAGTCTTCATTAATAACATGTTCAACAGTGGCTATTTGAAGTACTGTGTAAACGATTAAATCCAATTAGACCCAATTTCTCTATGAATTTATATTCGATTAGAAACATATTCGATTGTATATAAAGAGCAACGTATATACGAGTTACGTATGTAAAGAGCAATTGGCAGGCATTTTCGATTCGAAATTTTTCATTCAACGACTACGTCTTATAAGTTAGCGGAACAAAATGAGCAGAATCAATTCTAATTAATATTTTTATTTGTTGCTCATTTGTTGCTAAAAAGTTGCCAACAAATAAAAATATTAATTAAAATTGATTCTGCTCATTCTGTTCCGCTAACTTATAAGACGTTCAACGACTTGTATCTAAAATTGGGGCACATATATGTTCTTCGTTAAACGTGAGCTTATAAAAATTGGATTTAATCGCTCTTGAATTAATCAAAGCCGTAACCGGACGCTATAATTAAATCGGGCAATTTGCAAGCATTATCAGTTAGTTAAAATAGTTCACGAAACAGTAATAAGTCACTTTTTATAACTGCCAGAAACTGTTTCATTATAAATAAAGAGTTTACCCGAAAAATGTATGAAATATAATTTTTTATACAACAATAAATTTTTTACACGCTTTATATTTAAACAATTATTATTTTTCTTCAATAATTGTAACTCTGCAAAGTTTCAAATTTTAATATTTTGTCAAAGTTTTTTAACTAAAATTTTATCACAAAATATTATATTGATATTATATAATATTTAAAAAAAAAAATATTGTTTTTAAACAGTTTGATTTAAATTCCGCTACAGGTGTTATGTGAACTTATTTATCGTCTTCGCACTGGAAAGTCTACGTGCAACATATTCCCGAGACATTAACTGCCTCGTTCTCCAAAAATTATTGCCTCACATTGTTCTCAAACTGCCCGATTTAATCTTGTCGGGCGCCGTGAAGGCTCGCACGACAAATGATAATTGTAACCAAGACAAATGGATCTGTGAAAGACTCACCCTGCATTTTCAGCGGCAGCAATGGACATGTGCCTCCTCTCATCGAGAGTGGGCGCGGCGTCGAATTGCCGAGGGAGATCCGTGGTAATGAATTGAGAGTCACCCGTGCACGCGAGAGATGTTCTTCTCTCTCTTTCTCCCTCTCGTTCCCTTCGTGCGGACACTACCCTCGTGCACCAAGAAAGCTTTTCTCACCACTACACTGTCGATATCACCACTAAGCGAGGTCGTTAACCATCACTCGCGGCACCAGTATCACAGAAATATCAACACTCTTCGTCGCGATTAAAATTAAAAAAAAAAAAAAAAAAAAAAGTGAAGAAAAA